TTGTACGTGCTCAAGGCGAAGAGAAGGTGCGGTCGCACGAGTTCTCACTTGTTGATATCAGCTGTTTTCCCTTATCACCTCACTCTCACCACTGACGTGGAGAGAAGCAGCAGCGAAACAACCGCACCATCAGATAACCATTAGAAATGAATGGAGGGCGGTGCCAATGATTGTAGGTTGGGCCAATGAGAAGAACGACGGTATCGTGGGCCTCCTCACTCGTTTTTGCGCCGCGAAAGTGGTGTAGTTGTTGCCTCTGCGGACCTGACTACCTGCTCACGAAGGGAGAGGAAAATCTCAGCTGAACGCGGACGCTGCCTTTCATAATAATGACTCTCCCTACTCAAAGCGATCCTTTTAATTCTCACTGGTTTCGCAAGGGTGCCTTTCCACGATTATTCGGAAAGTACCACATGTAGTCCACATCCCAGCGATGGGGTAGGCGTGGTGGGGTACTTTACTTGATCATCGCGTAGGATGCGTTGTTTGTGAGATATTTCCACGCATTCTGATGGTGTTGTCCTATCAGTAGTTGACAAAGTCGTCATGCAGGTGTTGTCCTATCAGTAGTTGACAAAGTCATGGTTACAAATGTTCTAAAACTGCTGTATCCCTCTAAAAGTGCGGCTGCCGCTACGTTCAAGTACGCAGCCAAGAGCTCCCCATCTCCGGGATATGGAGTACCAACTTTTAAACAAGTTTTGTTAGGGCTGCTTCCGAACTTCAAATGACACCGCAATAACTCTGCAGAAAATGATAAGAGCCACAAGGAGCTGCTCGGCTTTGATTTGCACATTGGTTATTTCTTAGCTTGGTCATGTTAGCTAACAAGTTTGCTTGGTCAGCACATCGCAATGTCTTGTTGAAGTTGGCGCCACATTGTCCAATTGAGCCAACTTTGGTCACAGGAATTTACAGGTCATTACAAGGTGACCTGTACAAGCTTAAGTGAGTCCCATTCGTTGCCCCCACCAAATCATACTGCACCTCAGTTACAGCATGTCTCGCTTCAGGAGGGGGATGTCCACAGACTTGGTTGTGAGTGCCACCGCCAAGGACAATTACATGTTCGGGCAAGAAGTCTGAGGGGTGGTGTATCAACGTATCCCGTGCCGTACACCTTCTCTAATGCAGAGCGTCCACGACTGTCGTCGAGTGCCTTGTGTCTACAACTTTGGCTGAGCGAGTGAGCCGAGCCAAGTGGCCCCGCGTTCACAGCTACTCCCACTCCGAGGCCGAGATGCCGACTGCTTATGCGCACAAAACTAAGCCCACTCCGAAGTGAGGCAAGCAGACTTAGGTGTGGCAATATCTCGATCCTCCTGCAGTATTAAATCACATTAAACAACATGATGGCCAGCAGGTAAGAGAACCTGAAGAAGTCCATAGTAAGCCCGCCTCCATTCTCCTAAAGGGAACCAGGTGAGTCTAGCAGATGCTTGTCTCACCCATACACCCGTAGAAGGAGGTTGACTCCCTCTCTCTCGGAATCCTTGTTATTTGACTACCAGTCATATGGCCCGGCTTCGCAGGGCGACCCTCCTTCCGCGTGTGGACTGGGAATTGCTCCAGAGTTTTTCAAATGAGGGCCAGTCGGATCTTCCGGGCCGGGCGACTTGTCAAAAAATGTTTTTCCACGAAAATTACCCCACTTTACCGTTTCATTCCTTGTATATTCTTATTCTCCCTCACTTCATCTGCCAAACAGTTGCTCAATTTCACTTACTCCCCATTTCCGGGGGTATTCCGGATGCGTTTTGAGAACTTTTTGTCCTCGGCACTGTTCACTTCGGCGAACGCCCCGCCCATCATAGGCGGAGCTTAGGTTACCTTGTGTGTGCTCTGCAAATGGTACACATTCCATCCACGCATAGTGGGATGCATATGGCATGGACCAGCATTTCAGCACGTTCCTTAAACGGTTCCCTGAAGGTGAATTTTCTACGTAACCCTTGATTTTTGGGCGGTCACACCGACATACAGACACATACAACTTCTGGTTTATATATAGAGAAATACCAATCCCACTTGTCCTCTAAGGACCCTAAGAAAGTTAAAATCCTCACCACAAAATCGTCGTATTCCGCAAGCGAGCATGATGCAAAAACAGAAGACAAGCGTTGAAAAGCATAGAACCAGTGCGGTTTTGATCCACAGTGGAATGTATGAGATGAACTCGGCCAATGGCATGTCGCATTCAAAATTACCTGAAAAATTGAATTCTCTCCCAAAAAATACGTTGCAGATTCTCTCATCACTTGTCTCACCTTCTTCGGTAAATCCACATGTTTTAAGACGAGGTTCAAGTATCTCGTTCTCAACTTGTGACATTGGAACCAAGGTCCACCTGGGATCAGTTTGGCTTTCCTTGAGTGGGTAATTCAGATATCCGCCATGCACTACACCATCCCCGAGCCTAAAGTGTTTTCACTCCAGTCATTTACAGGAGAGCTATTTCACTCTGAAAGGAC